AGGGATGCAAGATAGAATGCTAAACGGAGAGTCAGTCGAAATTCTCGTCAACTAAAAGGCTTGGATTTAGTTGTGAGGAGTGGAACCCGCTTTCATAGTCGCACAACTGACTATTGCCGTTTGTTTCATTTTGGAGACATTGAAAGTTGAAAGCTAGCAAACGCGCGTCGTTGGCGGATTGTGAGATCTTTAAATATAAACAAAAGTAATTCAATAGTATCGACCAACAAGGACAATTTCTCAGCAAAAGAAATAGATTAAGTCTGTGGCGTCATAAACTATGAAAAGAAAAATGTTGAAAAAGAAAGATTAGTGAAGGAAATGGTTGATGAAGCGTCGAAAATGAGCAAAAAGTTTCAGCTGTCAGAGACAAAACGGGGCATTTAAGCTTATAGCATTCAGAAAAAAGATTATTTGATTCTTAAAGAATCTATATTCAAATGAAGTTTTCATACTATTCATAGAAAATATGCCAATAATCTGAATTATACTTACAAGTACAGAGATCAATTCTTACCATTAAGCTGGTAATTAATTTTTACTCAGTCATTATTAGTTTGAGTTATTATGAAATAACTATATCCAAACAGACTGGTCAAGCATTCTTTATTACTTTTCAAATTTTTTTCTTCTATCTCTCTCGCTATTCCCTCGAAAATAAAAATGACTTGGTTATTTTGAGATAAAAATAAAAAAACTTCTTTCGCTTTAATTGCTTTTGAGGCATTCATTACATTGACTGATAAGAAGATTCAAGACTTTCTCGTAATCCTGTTATTCTGAGAAACTCATAAAGCTTTTAATTGCAATTCAAATGTTCCAATCATACAAAGATCGCAAAACAAATGGATAAAAAATAGTTTTTCGTTATCACGTGAAGCCTTATTTTTAATCAGTAAAATTCTTGTTTATCTATACTTTCATCTTACTTTCTGGTACAAGTTTGGAATACCTCATTTGCTCGATTTCTGTTCTGCCAGTGTTCATAATCAAAGGCTTTAACAATCATAAAAAGGAATCTAATTGTAAGCCGACTGTCACAATATAAAGTTTGAAAAAAGTAGATTGAATGTCTTCATAACTGCTATGATAACTATCATTGTTCGTTGAAATGTTAATTGTTCTCTTGATTCATTCAAAATTCCATTCACCCATACAATTCTCACACAATAGGTATCAAAGATGCAGACAGATGATGCACAGAGAGAGTATTACATATAGATCATTCATGTTCTCTGACTCTCAGTCTCCATGACAACCAAAGGGTTGAATAGGCGAAAGGGAAAGGTAGCCGAGGGCTAACCACGATACATCGCAGTCTTATCACTTTTTTGTTTGGTATGAGGTCGACATATCTATGTTTACTCATAACCATACTTGTGATTTCGACAGCTTCTAATTCAACTATCATAAGCCTACCGTACCGTAGTGATCATCAAGCCTTACAGGGTGAGTTTCTTTCAAAGATGTTTCTGAATTCATCTTAAACAGAAAACAAAACAAAAAAACAAAAAAATTAGAATTCTATTCTCTACCAGAAAACGTTATACTTTAAATGAATGACATTAATGGTCCTGTTTAAATGGAGCAATACATCTATGAATATTCATCTTTTTGAAAAAAAACAGTCCAAAACAATCTTCTATTACCCTCAAAAGCAAAAAAAAAACTTTTCGCACGTACAATTGCGTACAAATGCTCGAAAATTAATTTCATCAGACATTTTAAGATGGGAACAAAAATCATTTTTTTCAGGTACTAATGAGACGAACAGTACTGTCAACTACGAAACCAAAATTGGTAATGTTCAAACGAAAAATTCGTTGTCAGCAATATGCTTCAGAAATATCTGTCCCAACGGCTAAATTGAGCGATGGTTTTAGAGAAAAACTGGCAGCAATTGTTTATGAGGGAATTATTTATAACTGGGCGAATCATCTGAACAGTACGGTGGACGCTCTGAACATAACACGGAGTGATAATGTTCATGTGAAGGTAAGTGCTTCATATAAGAAAAAAAAATTTCAAAAAATATGGCAACATTGGAACAAGAGATCGAAGAAGCGATAAAAGGCTCTTCGCTTTATCTAAAGTTTCAAAAGTTGCAATAAAGCTTCACACCAAATTTGAATGACAGAGAAAGAGGGGAGGAAATTGAAAAACTGAAAAACTTTAATTGAATTTAGTACATTCTGTAATCGCTTCAAATATGTTTGAATGAGCGAAATTAATTAAACAGTTCTCAAACTTCAGCGTAATAGAGGAAGTTTTGATAATTCCAATATAGAAAGCTAAAGTCAAACATAAGTAAGTTATAAAGTTATGTGTGAGAAAGAGTATGTGAAAAAAAATTAGCTTAAAGAAGAACTTTTTGTTTCATAAAAATCTCTTTGTGGGCAACAATTGATTTGAATTAAAATATATGCAGTAGATGAGTGAAGCTTAGAGAGTTGAATAACATTCGAAAGAGAGAGAGAGGACGAAATGAGATTGTTGTGTAGTAAGAATGCGGGAATGTGAATACGAGCTTCAAACAGCCAAGTATGAAAAACATTTGAGTCTCAGTCAAAAGTAAAATTAAGTGAAAAAAATTATAATTTTTGTAAGATCTTAAGATAAGAAACATCATTTATGGACATGTAGCATATTGTTTCAAATATTCATCTAATATGCAAATAGTGATGAGACTTGTGATCATTCGTATGGATAAATGAAGACATTACTGATAAACATAGTGAGAGGATGTAAATGTCTAAGGAAGTCGTTAGAACCAGATATTTGAAAAACAAATGGGGGAAAATTGAGAAGAAAAAAGTAATTTTGATAAAACTGAGTGACGTTACTTGAAATGCATTTGAATGCCAAAGCTAATGACGATTAATGCTGTTGATTAAAAAACTAAGGAAATTAAAAGAAGAATAGAAATGAAATTAACTTAAGAATATAAAAGATGATACGTCGAAGGTTCTTTCGTAATGTACTGAGGGAACATCAAAAGCATTCTCTACATTTGAATGAACAATATTGAGAATCAATGTTCTCATGGCTGTCAATAAGATACTGAACAAATCATTTTTTAGATAGTGACAGTTGAATATGGAGAAGATATCACAGAAATAACATTCATTAGTTATTGGAATGATAACCCGATTCCAGCAAAGGTGATGAGACTTTTGTTTTTATTTTTAGGAAAATATGAATTTAAACAAAACTATAATAGTTATTTGACAAAAAAAAAGAAAAGAAAAGCAATATCTCCTCATGAAAAGATATCATCCTCTTATAGCTAAGAAATTCAGAGATAAACCATCCAACGCTGAGATTATGTTTTTATTTCAAATCATTCTTTCACATTTTCTGAGATCATCACGTAACGATTTAGATTGTTACTCGCGATCTGGCTCAGCTCAATCTCAATCGAATTGCCGAAACTCTCGGCTACCCAGTTCACAAAATAAGTAAGTTATTGAAATTCTCACCCAAAACCAATAATCATTCCTTATTATTTATGTGCATAATTGGAAATAATTTCAGCTACTTATTCACCTTCAGAATCTATTTTACAAAAATGGTGGATAATAGGTATTTTAGAAATTCGAAATAGATAAAAAAGTTCTTTTAGTTTTAATAGCTGCGTGCGGATTTGTTATGAGCATTCTCGGCTTTTTCATTATTTTTCTTTCACTCAACTGTAATCAATCGAAAGGACAGCTGTTTCGTCAGAATCAACATAAAGTTCATGCCGTGTACAGTAGCTCATGCGAGCCTCGCAGGTAATTGAAATATAAAAAAGATGAAACGTATTTGATCAAGAAAAGCTTTTAAGACTTTTAAGAGGGAATAAGAGAAAACTAAGATAAAAATTAATACTTACGGCAGAAGCTTTCTTTCTATGTTGTTGTTTCACACTTGTCGAGTTTTCGTGTTGTTTCCACAATTCCATGTAAAGTCACAAGCTCCCGTTTTCAGATCAGATTTGATGGAATTATCAGTTCAAAGCGATCATGAATTTCTGAACAAGCCATCTCAACTAACATCTGATATCGATCATGAGTATGAAAAGGATAAAAAAACGGATTATGTCAAAAGAAGTAGGTCAAGTAGGTTTGGCAGATGCTTAAGGCTCTTTTCACATTTTAAGCAAAAGTGCCGAAAGTTCAACAAATATGAAAAAAAAAACAATTGATTCGAATTTTTTTCTATATTTTTAGAAGCGGAGATGAAAATAAGGTTTTTGAATTAAAAAAAAATGAAAAAAACACACAATCTCGTATTAAGCATCAGAGCTACATCGTTTTGTTGAGTTTGAAGAAATATGAGACACTTGTTTTTTTATTCAACAAATTAGTTTTTAGAGTAAAAAAATATACGAAAAGAAGCATTGCGCGTTTGGAAGCTTTGAGAATCACAACATATACTTATCTAACCATAAGGAGATGATATGTAAATATATAGGGAAATGTTTTATGAAAGAAGTCAAATGAAGCAATCCCATGAGAGATCAGTAGTTGTGCTCTCGATATATATAACTTGCAGCTTAAATCGATTTTCCTCAACTATTACAAAACTATTTAGAAAGTTGAAACTAACTCTCTTCAATTGAAATAAAATGACGAATGAAAAAAAGCTGTCATGCAACAAACTGCAATCAGACGTATTCATTCCAGATTTGAAAAAAGTTGCAAAGAAGAAGAAAAAAAAATCTGGTTTCCCTTTGAAGGTGAGATTGTTAGCGTTTTCACAAACTCAAAATAACATAATCCAAATGAAACATGAAAGCCACTATGTGAAACAGAAACAATGAACTGTTTTTTGCTAAAAAACGACTGCTGAATATACTAGCTGAATTCAAGTTCCAAGCTACCCTAATTTTTTTTCCTTCCATCGAAACATGCAAAAAAAATTTTACATCAATTTTACTTACACTAATACATTTTTTTACAGAGTGTTCTTGTTGTGAACACAATGCAAAAGTAAGTTTTCAATTTTCTGCTCAGTTCATGCGCGCTATGCGTTTTAGAGACAACGGGGCGATAGATAAATGGAACGTACCTGATATGCGTATCGAAAAAAGTTATGTTAGACGAGAAGACCGTCCAAAAACAGCAGCAACAGTGCGGAAGGCAGCTCATGTTCTTGGTACCCATAGCTTTGGCGTAAACAGCTTAATTCGTTTAACAGATGACATTGAATTACACGGAACAGGAGGAGATGGCCACTTCAATCCGTACTTCGCTGCAGACAAAGCTCATGAGATTATGTGTAAAATTATGGAAGAAGTAGTTGCTTTTATCGATACTGAATATTTTACTCGATTATAGGATGCTGTTGATGCCCTCGAAACAAATAGCCAACATCCCAAGCCAACATATTTTCTCGCAAAAAATGATCTTCACATGTACTAAATGATGAGCCAGAAAGAATACGTGCCAGACGGTTGCAATTTATTTCGTTTTGTTATGATTTATGCTTTCAACCAGGATATCATAAGCAAAAGCGTTATTTCATACCTTACATTTCATTTTTTGGAAAAGAATAGCTTTTTCCCCGTGTTTTCATTAATTATTTCCAATAAAATAATTACAAGTATCTATTTTCATCCCTTCAATATGTTTCGGAATCAACGAACCCTTTTCGAAGAACTCGATAATCTTCTAGCTGAGCAATATATATGCTTGAATTATTTTTAAAAGCATGCTCGTGATAGCTCACGTCATAATTTAAGTGAAATATGGTAATTTCTGTTCTTGCAGTCGTTTTCAATAAAATTTATTTTAGAATTTATAGATTTTCAATAGAAATAAAAGTAAAAGATCCGCTTTCAAATGTTCTATGCTCTACAAATCAAAAACAAGAGCAAAACTTTCTCGAATATTTCTTAACGAAACTAATTTAGAGGCGAATTGTGCTTTCAGAGCTTTCAAAATCAAAATTTGTATCTCATATTACTAAATATTCATCTCAACTTGTCCCAACATGAAGACCAGTCTTGTTCTTATAGCGCTCATTTTTCTCTTTTGTCAGGTAATGTGATTATTGTTGTTTTCATTTGAAATTCAAAATAAGGTAGCTGCTGATGATGAGATGTTGCCAGATCCACTGGATATGCCAGTTTTTCCGGAGCGCAAAGGATATTATCCCGAAACTCTTGCAAATAAATGTAAGAAACAATTACAGATTTTGAGACAATTTGTTACAGTTGCAAAAATAACAGGAATGGATAAGCGCTGCCGTTGGAAGCTCTGTAGTCCCAAACGAAAGAAGTATAGAGTAACAATGTTTCCCTGACTATTGATGATAATTATGTTCAATATGAACGCTCCGCTAATGTTTCTCTGAGAAATATGATGATTCGAAATTTAAAGTTATTTTTCTTGCATGCGGCCTCACTTCATGCTCTGAGAAGGATTGTTTGCACTAGAAAACCAGATAGAAACAGCCGGTGCAGGCATGGTCAGACGCAGCGCTTGAAGAGTTTGATTATTTCCCACTGAATCTAGTGAGTGTAACAAATAAAGAACTTTCTCACTTGTGCTTTTTTATCAATATTCATTCAAACTTGAAACATTTTTCAAAATTGAAAACATTGAGATGAGTAAGAAAAATTGCAAAGTCGTCAGAATTATAAGAGACCATCCTAAATAGAATTGGTTGTCCAAATAAGAAGAAATAGAGTTGTACATCACATTGAAGCAGCCCTAAATAATAATGTCGTTCAGTTACTCAATAAAAAAATGTTACATTAGTGTTTAAATACATCGACATTGTTAAGTTCTCTGCCACGCTGTGACCTAGACAAGCATCACGATGAACATATTCAAATTTGGTGAGTGAACAGAGCGGTAAAGCTATATAGTACTTGCATAAAACAACATAAATTATAAAAACAACCTTTAGTGCATTCTTCTGTGGGTTCAACATTTTTTCCACATTCTTTTTGTAATGATTCACATGTTTTACAGCAACTTAGAGGCACACGATCACGAGGGTACCTAGAGTTTAGTACCAGACGGTTGTTATAGTAATAAAATTTGGTTTACTGCAACTGTGACAGGAAAAACGTGGATTGAGTCCAATCATTACGATTCACTTCAACGCCGTTCAATCCACAACACTGATACTGTGATTGAAAAAGTGAATCTGCTGATGTGAATCAACTCACCGTTGATTGAAACGAACTCAAGGATAATTGAAGATGATGATGCTCTTCTCCATAGTTTCTTTGGATAATGTTCCCTAGAGACAATTTCGTCTTGTCGATGTTCTACCGTTAAGAATAATGATAAAATTCAATATTACTAAAACTACCTCATCGTTAAATGAGCCTTGTTCTTTGAAGACATAAAAGACACTCACGGAAATTACGAATGAAATTGAAAAAAATGTCCATGCATTCTGAAAAGTATGACAAAAGTACGGTTGAAAACAAATTGTGTGTACCAGAACAAGCAAACATTCGTTTTCAGAGTAAAATGCTAATATAGATAGGACAGAAGCAAACAGCATGAAAATACCGGCAAACAAGGATAATATAATTGAAATAGTGAGATATGAACGTCCTAATGACGACGTAACTGAGCCTATAGAGTTCCAGCTCTCTGCAGCATTAAGAACATAAATTAGAATAATAAGATTAATTAGGCAGAATACTATATATGCCGCATATTTTATTTTATTGAACAACGTTTTTCCTCTCATGATACGGAAAGTTGAAATTTTTTTAACCAGGTTATGCAGAGAGAAGGCAAATACGTACAAAATAAATTGAGAAGAACGATAAAGTTTTTCGAACAAATAAATTAAAGTAAATATGGTTTATTGATTCTCGGCGATTTTTCCTTTGAGCAAATAAAGGAGATTTGAAGAAAGTATTGAAGAAAAAATAGCACATTGTGTGAAAAATGTGGTAGAAGAGATTTATCATAATAATACACTGAGATTGCCCATATTCATAACTGTTTCTGGTACAACTGAACCATGCTGTCAATAGCAGTCTGATGGTCTGTGAGAAAACATTTGTTTCAAACAGTAATCACTATGTGAGAAAACTTAAAACTCTTGAAATAAATCATTTGTTCCACAGGGCGATTGATTTTCGAACATAGTTTTCCATCTGTTGACACAGAATGATGTTATGCCATCGACAACTTTCAGTGGTGTTGCTGAAGAATTTAACTATATTCGACAAAGCTCCCGCTTTTCTGCATTTACATTTTTCAAAATCCATTTCAACGTGCAAAGTTACTGATTTAGTCGGTATGGAGTGATCCAGAGACGATGAAATGTATACCTGTCTCGTATTTCTTGATACGCTTAACGCCATATTTTAACAAGGTAAGAGAACTTTTACTTAATGATATAATGCTTCAATATTGCCGGATGCGCTTCAGAGTCTCCTCTTCCCGGATGGAAAAAGCTTCCGGTTCCTTTAATAAAATTTAATGGACGGAAAGGTGTGACTTCCGTTACAATTTATGGAAATAATGGCAAATATACAAAAATACATACAATACAAAATTACGAATCGTTTTAAAAAAAGCTTATCTCTCAAAAGTTTACTTTTTAATTTTATATGTTATACGCCACTGAATACTGTTTAGGAGCTATATGAGGGTACTGCTCTATGGTGAATCGCGATGGAGTTAACCCGCTAGCAGAAAGGCTCTTGCAATTCTTCTGCGCTACTTCAATCAGCCCTCTAAACTCGGGTTGGGTTGTGTTGTCTCAACAATTTTTTTTAAAATTAATTTTTCTCACCTCAATAGAGGGGAATTTAAAATTTTTTCACACAAACGGTTGGGCCCATTTGTAATTTTTTTCACACAAACGGTTGGGCCCATTTGTAATTTTTTTCACACAAACGGTTGGGCCCAATTGTAATTTTTTTCACACAAACGGTTGGGCCCAATTGTAATTTTTTTCACACAAATGGTTGGGCCCAATTGTAATTTTTTTCACACAAACGGTTGGGCCCATTTGTAATTTTTTTCTCACAAACGGTTGGGCCCATTTGTAATTTTTTTCACACAAACGGTTGGGCTCATCTAACAAAATTTATTCAGAGCGGACAAACAGGGCCTACAGTATGAAATAACATATAGAATTAAATAATAAACTCACATCCTCCTCCCTCCAAGATGTAGGAGCCGTTTATTAATTTTTCTCACCTCAACAGTGGGGGATTTAAAATTTTTTCCACACAAATGGTAGGCCCCACTTATAATTTTTTTCACACAAACGGTTTGGCCCATTTGTAATTTTTTTCACACAAACGATTGGGCCCATTTACAATTTTTTTCCCACAAAGGGTGTACCCCATGTCGAATATGTTTTTTTGGGCTGTGTTGTGTCAAAAACTGTTAATTTATGAACTTTTCTCCCCTCAACGATAGAGAATTTAAACCTTTTTTCTTACCGAGTAGGTGAACGAATATGAATTTTTTCACACAAATGAAAAAATTGTTATATAAGAGATGTTTTAACGAATAAAACAAACTCTGAAAACATACGTACACATTAACGGGGTTACATTTAAACTAAGGAATCGTTCCATCTTTGGGATTTCTCATGTTGAGTTTAATATATGAATGAGAATGTGATCTCAGAGTTCTAGTCGATGGAATCAAGAAAACATAATAAGAGAAAGAAGTTTATTTTGGTTTAAATGAGTAGTGTTTAATATATTTAAATGACTAAGAGA